AGGATTGTGAGAGGGATGCCCGACTGCTGTTTTAGGCCCGATCCCCATCAAATTTCATGCACTGGGCCTCTAGTATACATATATGAATAGCCCACGGACACAGATAATACTGTGGTGAAGGCCGGGGGGGGGGGGGGGCGGGGTGGGGGAGAAAAAATAGAGGACATCTGTAATACTTTCAACAATATAGATTTATAAAAATAAACAAACATAGTACTTCTTTGTGTCATTAAAAAGTTATCTTCTGCATATTCCCTTCCATAGCCCATTACAAAATTATACAACATGACGCTATCCTATTCATAAAGCCGAGACAAGGGGGCACATTGATGACTGACAAAAGCTACAGGACTTCTCTTCCCTGCAGCTTAATGGGGATTTTCCGGAGTTTTAATTCTGCTTTTTGCAATTTGCATCATGTGCCTCGGAGAGGGCTGAGGAAAGCCTCTGAGACAAGCTCACTCCTACAGAAGAGCTGCATCCTTTCATCAGAGGACACACGCCCTCCCTCCCCAGTGATTTATACGCCTGGTGCACGACTGAGGCCGCGGCCGCGAGGGGCTGGAACAAATCTTCCTGCCGAAGAGGAAGTACACCCTGGTCTGCGGGACATATGGCACACAGTTCCTCGAAGATTAATGGGAACATGACACTCTGCTGGGTCCTCAGACCAGGGATGATAAGGGTGTTGGAAAGAGTACCTCCCCTCTTAGCTTTGAAGTATCCCTGACTACAAAGGTTGGAGGAAATTTAGAGTGGATGGGAATCCCCAAAATAAGGTTGGCAGGCAGAATGCCCGACTGTAAAGACGTCCCAAGACCATATATAAGCCAGGTTTTGAAACTCTTCTAACGGATGCAGAGTAGCTCGCAGTATTTACTTTGTAAATTAATGTGACCAGGAGCGTCTCCTGAGGCTGCACAGACTCTCACTGTTCATCAAACAGCCTGTGGATGGAGAGCACACCCTGGGTATTTTGGAGCCACTGTGAATACAGGTCTCCAAAGTGAGTGTGGTCTCCAGGCTCCTTGGCCTCTTGCACCTGCCCCCGGCCAGGTCCTTCAGTTCTGCACAGCGACTGCTCTCCCAAGCTCCCCCTGCCCCCGCACCTTTTTCTCTCTCTCACAGATGATTCATTCCACACTTCACAGTAAACTTAAGGCCACTGAGTACCAATTCACTCAATGTTCTGGCCCCATCCCTCCAATATCCCCACCTACACCTGTGTCCCTTCCGCACTCTTCCATGGTCAGATGAGAGGACATGGCCCTTCTGATGAAGTCGAATTACAGGCTCTGGGTTTGGACATGTCTATCTGGGCAACTCCTTGCTCACATTTTCCACTTCTTTCCTGACTCCTCCTCTGCAGCATGCAGCGAGCTTCCTCCCCTCTGATCTCATCTGCTTCACGGCCTCGCTCCTGGGAAGGACACCTTTCCCCGTTTCTTCCCGTCGCTCACTTGCATGCACTCTGCACTTGTACTTCACTACGCTGAGTTCCTCTCTCCACATCTCATGCCCTGTGCACTCCCGCGCTCAGGGGCTTCGTGCTTCCACCTGCCGGGCTTTCCTCCTCCCTCTCTGCTTCCTCCTCAGTCTCTTGCTGCACTGGACTTAGATAATGAAGTTTCCCAAGGGTAGGCCTGGAACCCTCTTTCTCTTCTCCCTTGGTAAGCTCATCTCATTCATTCATCCATTCATTTGATATTTATTAACATCTTATTGTGCTGACTGGGACTATGTTGTAGGCTGAGAATGAAAAAGGCAAATATCAAATGTTTTGTAAAAAAGAAGGAAATCTTACCTCTTGTGATAGCATGGAGGGACCTGGAGAGTAGTATGCTAAGTGAAATAAGCCATCAGAGAAAAGAAAGTACCATATACTTTCACTTACATGTAGAATCTAATAGACAAAATCAACTGATAAATAAAATGGAAACAGTGTCATAGGTAGAGAATAGACTGGCAGCTGTCAGAGGGGAGAGGAGTTGGGGACTGGGTGAAAAATGTGAAGTGACTGAGCAAAACACAAAATAAAAACAAATTCATAGATACAGACAACAGTGTGTGATTACCAGAGGGAGACAGGGTGGAGGGAGGTAGAAAAGGGGAAAGGAAGATAAATGAAGAAAGGGAACTCGATTTGGGTTGGTGAACACACAATACAATATACAAGTGATATACTATGGAATTATACACCTGAAACCTGAATAATTTTATGAACCAATGTCACCCCAATAAATTCAATTAAAAGATGTAAAGTGCTTAGCCCAATGCCTGTCATACAGTTGGTGATTATTAAATGGTAATCATTATTACTGTACATATATTCATAATTTTAATGTGTTTTGTTATCATTATAATGGGACCTACTTCAAAAGCTTATTGTGAAGATCAAATAAACTAACAGATGAGAAAGAACATTAAAAAAGTTCAGCACAGTATTACTTGGCCATAAAGTGAAATAAAAGTTCTGACACCTGTTATAACATGGACAAACCTTGAAAATATTATGCCCAGTGAAATAAGCCAGACACAAAAGGACAAATATTATTTGATTCCACTCTTGTGAGGTGCAAAGTCAGACACAGAAAGTACAATAGAGGCTACCAGGGGCTGAGAAAAGGGGGACATCGGGGGTTACTGCTTAGTGGACAGAGCTTGGGTTTGGGATTCTGAAAGAGTGCTGATGGCAG